TGTTCTTCCCCAGATTTTGCGGCTGTTCTTCCCCAGATTTTGGGTCGATTTCCCAGATTTTGGGTTTGTTCTGTCCCAGATTTTGGGGTTGTTCTGTCCCAGATTTTGGGGTTGTTCTGTCCCAGATTTTGGGTTTGTTCTGTCCCAGATTTTGGGGTTGTTCTTCCCCAGATTTTGGGTTTGTTCTGTCCCAGATTTTGGGGTTGTTCTGTCCCAGATTTTGGGTTTGTTCTGTCCCAGATTTTCGGTTGTTCTTCCCCAGATTTTGTGTTGTTCTGCCCCAGTTTTTGGGTTTGTTCTGTCCCAGACTTTGGGGCGATTCCCCGGATTTTGGGGGGACCCCGTGGTGGGTTTTGGGGTCCCACCCCTCACCTCCCCTCTCTCTTTCATCACCCCCAGATGCACAAGCGGGAGCGAACCTGCAAGGATTACATCAAGGTGAGGGGCGGGGCCAGCGGGGCGTGGCCGCGACAGTGGGAGGGGCTTGAGTGGGTGTGGCCAGGGTGGGGCTAGAGTGGGTGGGCGTGTCCCATGGGTGTGGGGTGGGTGGGCGTGTCCCATGGGTGTGATTTGGGTGGGTGGGCGTGTCCCATGGGTGTGATTTGGGTGGGTGGGCGTGTCCCATGGGTGTGATTTGGGTGGGTGGGCGTGTCCAATGGGTGAGATTTGGGTGGGCGTGTCCCATTGGTGAGATTTGGGTGGGCGTGTCCAATGGGTGAGATTTGGGTGGGTGGGTGTGTCCCATGGGTGTGGTTTGGGTGGGTGGGCGTGTCCCATGGGTGTGGATTGGGTGGGCGTGTCCCATGGGTGTGATTTGGGTGGGCGTGTCCCATGGGTGTCGATTGGGTGGGTGGGCGTGTCCAATGGGTGAGATTTGGGTGGGCGTGTCCCTTGGGTGTGGGTTGGGTGGGCGTGTCCCATGGGTGTGATTTGGGTGGGTGTGTCCCATGGGTGAGATTCGGGTGGGCGTGTCCCATGGGTGTGGCTTTGGGTGGGCGTGTCCCATGGGTGTAGGTTGGGTGGGCGTGTCCCATGGGTGTGTTCCGGGTGGGCGTGTCCCATGGGTGTGATTTGGGTGGGCGTGTCCCATGGGTGTGGTCTGGGTGGGTGGGCGTGTCCCATTAGTGAGATTTGGGTGTGCGTGTCCCAAGGGTGTGATTTGGGTGGGCGTGTCCAATGGGTGAGATTTGGGTGGGCGTGTCCCTTGGGTGTGGGTTGGGTGGGCGTGTCCCATGGGTGTGTTCCGGGTGGGCGTGTCCCATGGGTGAGATTTGGGTGGGCGTGTCCCATGGGTGAGATTTGGGTGGGCGTGTCCCATGGGTGTGGTCTGGGTGGGCGTGTCCCATGGGTGAGATTTGGGTGGGTGTGTCCCATGGGTGTGGATTGGGTGGGCGTGTCCCATGGGTGTGGATTGGGTGGGTGGGCGTGTCCCATGGGTGTGATTTGGGTGGGCTTGTCCCATGGGTGTGGCCTGACGGGTGGGCGTGTCCCATGGGTGTGGTCTGGGTGGGTGTGTCCCATGGGTGTGATTTGGGTGGGCGTGTCCCATGGGTGTGATTTGGGTGGGCGTGTCCCATAGGTGAGATTCGGGTGGGCGTGTCCCATGGGTGTGATTTGGGTGGGCGTGTCCCATGGGTGTGATTTGGGTGGGCGCGTCCCATGGGTGTGGTCTGGGTGGGCGTGTCCCATGGGTGTGTTCCGGGTGGGCGTGTCCCATGGGTGAGATTTGGGTGGGCATGTCCCATGGGTGAGATTTGGGTGGGCATGTCCCATGGGTGTGGTCTGGGTGGGTGGGCGTGTCCCATGGGTGAGATTTGGGTGGGCGTGTCCCATGGGTGTGGTCTGGGTGGGTGGGTGTGTCCCATGGGTGTGGCTTTGGGTGGGCGTGTCCCATGGGTGTGGTTTGGGTGGGCGTGTCCCATGGGTGTGTTCTGGGTGGGCGTGTCCCATTAGCGTGTCCCATGGGTGGGTGTGTCCCATGGGTGGGCGTGTCCAATGGGTGTGGTCTGGGTGGGTGGGTGTGTCCCATGGGTGAGATTTGGGTGGGCGTGTCCATGGGTGTGGTCTGGGTGGGTGGGTGTGTCCCATTGGTGAGATTTGGGTGGGCGTGTCCCATGGGTGTGGTCTGGGTGGGCGTGTCCCATGGGTGTGGCCTGACGGGTGGGCGTGTCCCATGGGTGTGATTTGGGTGGGTGGGCGTGTCCCATGGGTGTGGGTTGGGTGGGCGTGTCCCATGGGTGTGATTTGGGTGGGTGGTCATGTCCCTGGGTTGGACATGGCTGCACCCAGGGGTGCAGGGGACCTGGGGGTTGGAGGTCAGTGGGTGGGGCCCGTCCTGGCTGGACGTGGCATTTGGGTGCGTCCCTCTGGGCACGTCTGTTTGGGCGTGTCGTTTGCATGTGTCCCCGGGGCATGTCCCAGCCGTGTCCCAGCCGTGTCCCCAGCCGTGTCCCAGCCGTGTCCCAGCCGTGTCCCAGCCGTGTCCCCAGGTGTATCCCCAGCCATGTCCCAGCCGTGTCCCCAGGTGTATCCCCAGCCATGTCCCCAGCCCTGTCCCCAGCCGTGTCCCAGCTCTGTCACAGCCGTGTCCCAGCCGTGTCCCAGCCGTGTCCCAGCTGTTTCCCCAGGTGTATCCCCAGCCCTGTCCCCAGCCATGTCCCAACCGTGTCCCAGCCGTGTCCCAGCCGTGTCCCAGCCATGTCCCAGCCATGTCCCAGCCGTGTTCCCGGTCCCGTCCGTGCCCCACGCTCCCCGCCCGTCCCGCAGGCCGTGGTGGAGGCCGTGGACAACCTGCTGCGCCCGGAGGCGCTGGAGTCGTGGCGGGACATGAACGGCTCGGAGCAGGCGCACACGGCCACCATGCTGCTGGACGTGCTGGAGGAGGGCGCCTTCCTGCTGGCCGACAACGTCAAGGAGCCCGCGCGCTTCCTGGCCGCCCGGCAGAACCTGGGTCAGCCCCCGGGACCCCCGCCCCGGCCCCGGCGGCTCCGCCCAGCCCCGAGCCCGTCCTGGGGTCCCCACGGGGCCCCGCGGCCCACCCTGTCCTGCCCCCGCCTTGCAGGCCCTGCAGCCGGCAAGGGACCCTGGTGAACAAATAGCCGAATATCCCAATGTTCCAATGTCCCAATATCCCAATATCCCAATATCCCAATATCCCAACGTCACAATATCCCAATGTCCCAACGTCACAATATCCCAATGTCCCAATATCCCAACATCCCAATATCCCAATGTCCCAACATCCCAATATCCCAATGTCCCAATGTCCCAACGTCTCAATATCCCAATATCCCAACATCCCAATATCCCAATGTCCCAA